GGTAAGGGAAGCTTATATATTTAATTTATACTTGTATGATTTTATGAAGGCATGATCTGGGTTGTCTGTATGAAATATATGTATATGTGCTGTTCTGGATCTGCATGAACGAACCCTGTTGTGCTGTATGAATATGTTTTCTGTTGGTTGAAATGCATGTTGAATTGGACTCGTATGAAAGATGTATGACTATAGTATAGTTGGATTTATTAATGTGAAGAAAGCTGTATAGTATGTAAATTAATGTGGATATGAAATTATAAAGTATGTATCGTATGAGAAATGTTAAAGTTAAGAAAGTTGGAAAAAATCTGGATATGATAAACTCTTCCTATGATAAAATACGCTCGTCACCGTACGGTCTTATACCGTTCGGTTTTTCCTGGAAATAACTTAGACTGGAATTCTTTCATTTGGAAAGAACTCCGCTCGAGAACGAGCGTCCCCATTTGAATGTCTTAGCGTTCGTTTCAGCTCAGCTATATATAAATACCATAAACTTTAAAATACGTAACGTTCGGTCTTATACCGAACGTTCGTTCGGTCTTATACCGAACGTTCGTTCAAATTAGCGCTCGGTCTTATACCGAACGTTCGTTCAAATTAGCGCTCGGTCTTATACCGAAGCGTTCGTCCTAAATAGCGCTCGGTCTTATACCAAGCGTTCGTCCTGATGGGTGCTCGGTCATCTACCTAGCGTTCGTATTAATGAAGTGTTCGGTCTTAGATTGAACGCTCGTCCTTATTTTTGATTCCTTAACGAACGTAAGTCGCGTTCGTCCAAAATACTTAGTAAATGAATGTTGGCGCGTTCGGTCATTAACTGGCAGCCTCCCCTTTTAAACAAAAAGTTCCTAATGTAGTTAAGTATTTATCTTGATGTATCTTCGTACAAGTTGAGTCAACCTGACCTCTTGGTACTTAAAATATTCTGAAAAAGGGTCTTATTATTCTGGAGTCTTTTTGATCATTACTGGGTCCCGCTAAATCTGGTTTTAACGTTCGTCCTCTTCCTTCCGAGAGTTGAACGTTCGTTTTATTAAGAGAGTGGAACATAGAATGAAAATGTGATAAATATGAAATGTTAAGATGTTCGAACACTATATTAAATGGTTATACGAGTATGGGATTTGAACGAGCGTTCCAAGGAGGAACGTCTCAGATATGTTAAATATTAAATTTGGTAAAGTATGACTGTGGATAAGTTAAGACTCGCTGTCCATCCTGATATTCAGTGATTACTCTTCTCACGTAGAGAGGGTAAGTCATGCGTGTGAATGGCAGGAGGTCCTTAGTCCATAAGTTAACATGGGTGACGTAAGAACGGACTAACCTCGAGTGGCAGCTGATTAGGTGTATCCCGGTTATTACATCACTCGAGTGCAAGGACGCTTGTAACTACACAGATCATACAGTCCGGACGGTCGTCATAAATATATATATATATATATATATATATATATATATAATGTTACATGATTGTTATATGTGAAAACTATGTGCTTGTGTGGAATGATATGTTTATTGTATGTGATGATGTATAACTTAAATTATATAAGCTTACCCTTTCGTTTTCCTTTGTTGTCCATCGTATCTGTACGTTCGTCCTGTCTTGCAATGATCATCCGTGTGGATGTGAGCAGAAGGCGAGGCCACTCTAGAGGACGTCATCGAGGAAGAAAACTTAGTTGAAGTAGAAGTGAAAGCGGAGCAGTAGGACGTCGTTCTTTCATTTTGATTAGAGCGCTCGTAGATGTTTAGATTGTAAATGTTAGCTTATGAGGACGTTCGGTTATTTCTTTTGTAAAACCGTTCGTTCTGATTTAATTCCTGTTGTTATGATACACTCGTTATTTTGTATCAAGGCCGTTCGGCTTTTGAAACGTGTTTTTCTGTTAATTGTAAAGACTGTTCACTTTACTGTTAATTGTAATTAATTCTGACTTATGGTAATTACTGTATTTTGGGACGTTACACATACCTCCACAACTAATTATTTTAATGCTTAAAAAAATCTCGTATTGAAACTAATATAAATAAATTAAATTAATAAAAAAATTCAACCCAACAATAAAGCTAGAAAGTGATTATACTACGTTAATTGTTTGAGTTTGGATGGTGATTGGAACATGCTTACATCCACTTCCCGATCATGTTGTAAAACATCGAGTTAAGTTGCCTATACTAATTTTACTGTAACTTGGGTTAATTCTTTTATTGTTAATATATATAAAAAAAAACCATGGATTACAGGAAAAATCTATTGACCTAACATATTATAAGAGAAATTATCTTGATTTAATTAATGTTTTGAGTTGAAGGATTGAACTAATTGAATTTAGTTATAACCAAAACTCACATAACTCTACGAATTCAACTCCTCCTTCAACATTCTCTTTTATTCATCGCTTCTGATTATTCCTTTTTAAAAGTTAAACAGTGATGTGTTGAATATAGTCTTAGAATTCCGAAGGAGGTGTTATTTGAAAAGTTGCAAACGGTTTTCAGACTGATACAGTATCCGCAGTGCTCATTCAAACGCGCAGATGACAAGGAATCAGATACAATATTAAGTCACTTCTATTACCTCTATTTACAGCTTATGTTATGATAAAAATATATATAAGATAAACATATATACATATATTCATTATTAAGACAAGAGTAGGTGAAAAGACTAATTTTTTTTTAAATATTTAAAGTATAATTTAAAAGTAATAATATGATATTAAACATAAAATACAGATAAATATATTTTTCAAGGAGTTCAAACAGAGTTCTATAATTATTCTAAACCTAATATCTATCTCTTCCATGTGAGTTCTCTTAAAGCATGCTAGAAAAGATTGAAAAGATATAATGAAAACTCTGTTAAAAATGTCTTTCAATCAAAGTTCAAATTATGATGTCTTAGTGATTAAACAGGTGGGAAACGGAACTTGGTTATTAATTGATAATTGATAAGTTAAAATATCTATTAAAAATTAACTTTAATAATTTGTTATAGCTTAAAAATTGAAAAAGAAAATCATTGAAAAAAGAAAAGTAAAACATAAAAGGAAGATAAGGAGATAATAGAAATCACGCTCCAAACAAAACAATATAGATGGTAAACATGAAATTGCAAATCATCTTCTTTCAACCATGTTGAACCGTGTACTGTAACTATGTATAAATTATATTAAGAAGTGAAATTAAAAAATTTAATGGTGTGGTTTTAGAGAAAATCATTTGGATGCAAAATTAATTTGAAATATGCAGTAAATTTGATTGTTGTATTTTAGTTATTATTTGCAATTTTTTTCTGCAGTAAATCAATACTGTTAGTATTTTAAATTAAGAAATTAATTATGCGGAAATAATTGTTCAAATATTTACGTCATCATGCCTATTTTTTAATCTTATATTTAAAAGACTTTTTAAATATTATACTGAGATGTTTGTATAACATTCTATGTTTAAACTCGGGTATCTTACATATATATAATACTAGTAGTATTTTAAATGATGGATGTTTTCGATAAATTATTAATCTTTTTTAATAGTTTTACTATTATTCGGCTATTGTTTTAAAATTTACAACAAAAAAAATTGTGTTTGCAAAGAAATGTTTCTATTGATCCGATTGTTCGAATTATCAAACAATATATCAAAAACTAGTCAGCAATGTCATGGTAATTTATAGTAGGACTTTGGGAAACGAATTTCAAGAGTGAAATGTTTGATCGAATTGTAGATAACTCAGTGCACATACATTCAGCCAAATATCATTCCACATCCAGGTTTTGGATTTGTGAAATCTTTTCCCAGTCTTCCCCTACTTCTTTCTGACAACGATGTTTGAGTAAAGGGCAGTTACCCGAAATTGAAAATTGTGAAATTGATTCGGGAAGGCCCTCCTCCGGTAAGCTTTCGAGATTGGGGCAATCACGAAGACTCAGTTTTTCGAGAGATGAGAGTTGACGAAGACCCTCGTAGTCCAATTTTTTTAGATTTTCAAAACAATAGATGCATAGAGAAGTAAGAGAGAGGGGAAGCAAACCTTCATCAGGAAAACATTCTGCATCCACGATTCCAATCCACAAGCTTTTCAGGGTATTGGCTCGCAAAGCTCCTTTCAATGAGCCAATAAGTGTGGAGCAGCAATTCTGGAGTTTCACGAAATTTAGATTTGATGGCAAACCTCCGTGAGGGAACGACTCAAGTTTTTTACAATCATATATGCTTAGCCTCATGAGAGATGGAAGCAATGTATGCATGCTTTCAGGCAATGATTCAAATTTTGGGCACTTTTCGATTGTCAGATACTTGAGATGATTATGACGGTCATCCTGTGAGATCATCTGCAGATTAAGAAACCCTCTGAGATTAAGCGCACTTAATGTTGGGAAGAAATGTAGAGGAAAGGTCCACGGAGAGACAGATTCATCACTGTTTGTCTTCGAGTGTGAATTAATGTCTAAGACTTCAAGAGAAGTGAAGTGCCAAACAATTTTCACCATTGATGCTTCCAAGTAGTCCCCGTCTATTTTTAGACGTTTCATTGTAGGCCATCGCACTTTTAGAGCAGTAACAGTTAAAGCTTGATCACAATGAGAAATCTTTAGATCATTTAAAGGAACAAGTTGCTCTGGCAGATCTCCTTTCAGCTTGGGACAATTACTTATTGAAAGACGTTTCAGACTTGGAAAAGCACCTTTCACAGCTTTACATTCCCATTTTTCCAATTGTTTCATATTAGAGATCTCTAAATTTTCAAGGGAATTAAAGGAAGAAGAGTTGTTCCCATAAAAATCAGCATCAATACTCACTATCCCATCAAGTCCTCCAATCTTCAAGTCCTTTAGATCTTTCCAAAGTCCAAGTGGAGGTAAACGTTGGCAAGACTTACATTCCTTAAAGGCTAAGGACACCATCTCCCACGATGAATCTTCTAGTAACCAATCTGGAAATTGTGTGCCTCCATAGCTAACGATTGATAACTCCTTTAAGTTTTTGGAAGGTTGCAATTTGTCAATTACATCCTCTTCTTTTTTTGAATCAATAGGGTTATCTTTCCTCCTTGAATTCCATTTCAACTCTAGCTTCACAAGGTGTGTATTATTCTTCAAATTTGCTTCTGATGCATCCCGGGGTTTCTCAATTTTCTCCAACTCGTCAATTGATAGGCTTTCATGAAGGTTGTTTAGCTCTCCTAACCGTTGAATACCCAACTCGCTACTACAGCCAACGTTAAAGGAACTCATCTTTACTTTAAGATTCTTCAAATTTTTCAAATCTGGCACCTTTATCACTTTAGTCTTTATAAATTCAAGGCGACACAAAGAGGTGAGTGAATTCAAATTTGAGGGCAACTCCACCAAATCGCTACAATAATTCAACTTCAGTATTTGCAAGCGGGAAAGTGAACATATGCTTTCAGATAACTTTTTTATGGCAGTACGAGAGAGGTCTAACGAACGAAGATACTTAAGATTGCCGACACAGTCAGGTACCTCTTTAAGGTCAGAACAATGAGAGAGGGATAAGATACGCAATAAGCTAAACATGGCGAACAATTCAGGTATCGATATTTTGCAATTCCAATAACAGGGAAGTTGATCCATGCTCCTACCTGTTGGCATAAATGTACGTAACCTTTGTCTTTTGTATAAAGTTCCAAACCCTTCAAANTAATAATATGATATTAAACATAAAATACAGATAAATATATTTTTCAAGGAGTTCAAACAGAGTTCTATAATTATTCTAAACCTAATATCTATCTCTTCCATGTGAGTTCTCTTAAAGCATGCTAGAAAAGATTGAAAAGATATAATGAAAACTCTGTTAAAAATGTCTTTCAATCAAAGTTCAAATTATGATGTCTTAGTGATTAAACAGGTGGGAAACGGAACTTGGTTATTAATTGATAATTGATAAGTTAAAATATCTATTAAAAATTAACTTTAATAATTTGTTATAGCTTAAAAATTGAAAAAGAAAATCATTGAAAAAAGAAAAGTAAAACATAAAAGGAAGATAAGGAGATAATAGAAATCACGCTCCAAACAAAACAATATAGATGGTAAACATGAAATTGCAAATCATCTTCTTTCAACCATGTTGAACCGTGTACTGTAACTATGTATAAATTATATTAAGAAGTGAAATTAAAAAATTTAATGGTGTGGTTTTAGAGAAAATCATTTGGATGCAAAATTAATTTGAAATATGCAGTAAATTTGATTGTTGTATTTTAGTTATTATTTGCAATTTTTTTCTGCAGTAAATCAATACTGTTAGTATTTTAAATTAAGAAATTAATTATGCGGAAATAATTGTTCAAATATTTACGTCATCATGCCTATTTTTTAATCTTATATTTAAAAGACTTTTTAAATATTATACTGAGATGTTTGTATAACATTCTATGTTTAAACTCGGGTATCTTACATATATATAATACTAGTAGTATTTTAAATGATGGATGTTTTCGATAAATTATTAATCTTTTTTAATAGTTTTACTATTATTCGGCTATTGTTTTAAAATTTACAACAAAAAAAATTGTGTTTGCAAAGAAATGTTTCTATTGATCCGATTGTTCGAATTATCAAACAATATATCAAAAACTAGTCAGCAATGTCATGGTAATTTATAGTAGGACTTTGGGAAACGAATTTCAAGAGTGAAATGTTTGATCGAATAGTAGATAACTCAGTGCACATACATTCAGCCAAATATCATTCCACATCCAGGTTTTGGATCTGTGAAATCTTTTCCCAGTCTTCCCCTACTTCTTTCTGACAACGATGTTTGAGTAAAGGGCAGTTACCCGAAATTGAAAATTGTGAAATTGATTCGGGAAGGCCCTCCTCCGGTAAGCTTTCGAGATTGGGGCAATCACGAAGACTCAGTTTTTCGAGAGATGAGAGTTGACGAAGACCCTCGTAGTCCAATTTTTTTAGATTTTCAAAACAATAGATGCATAGAGAAGTAAGAGAGAGGGGAAGCAAACCTTCATCAGGAAAACATTCTGCATCCACGAGTCCAATCCACAAGCTTTTCAGGGTATTGGCTCGCAAAGCTCCTTTCAATGAGCCAATAAGTGTGGAGCAGCAATTCTGGAGTTTCACGAAATTTAGATTTGATGGCAAACCTCCGTGAGGGAACGACTCAAGTTTTTGACAATCATATATGCTTAGCCTCATGAGAGATGGAAGCAATGTATGCATGCTTTCAGGCAATGATTCAAATTTTGGGCACTTTTCGATTGTCAGATACTTGAGATGATTATGACGGTCATCCTGTGAGATCATCTGCAGATTAAGAAACCCTCTGAGATTAAGCGCACTTAATGTTGGGAAGAAATGTAGAGGAAAGGTCCACGGAGAGACAGATTCATCACTGTTTGTCTTCGAGTGTGAATTAATGTCTAAGACTTCAAGAGAAGTGAAGTGCCAAACAATTTTCACCATTGATGCTTCCAAGTAGTCCCCGTCTATTTTTAGACGTTTCATTGTAGGCCATCGCACTTTTAGAGCAGTAACAGTTAAAGCTTGATCACAATGAGAAATCTTTAGATCATTTAAAGGAACAAGTTGCTCTGGCAGATCTCCTTTCAGCTTGGGACAATTACTTATTGAAAGACGTTTCAGACTTGGAAAAGCACCTCTCACAGCTTTACACTCCCATTTTTCCAATTGTTTCATATCAGAGATCTCTAAATTTTCAAGGGAATTAAAGGAAGAAGAGTTGTTCCCATAAAAATCAGCATCAATACTCACTATCCCATCAAGTCCTCCAATCTTCAAGTCCTTTAGATCTTTCCAAAGTCCAAGTGGAGGTAAACGTTGGCAAGACTTACATTCCTTAAAGGCTAAGGACACCATCTCCCATGATGAATCTTCTAGTAACCAATCTGGAAATTGTGTGCCTCCATAGCTAAAGATTGATAACTCCTTTAAGTTTTTGGAAGGTTGCAATTTGTCAATTACATCCTCTTCTTTTTTTGAATCAATAGGGTTATCTTTCCTCCTTGAATTCCATTTCAACTCTAGCTTCACAAGGTGTGTATTATTCTTCAAATTTGCTTCTGATGCATCCCGGGGTTTCTCAATTTTCTCCAACTCGTCAATTGATAGGCTTTCATGAAGGTTGTTTAGCTCTCCTAACCGTTGAATACCCAACTCGCTACTACAGCCAACGTTAAAGGAACTCATCTTTAGTTTAAGATTCTTCAAATTTTTCAAATCTGGCACCTTTATCACTTTAGTCTCTATAAATTCAAGGCGACACAAAGAGGTGAGTGAATTCAAATTTGAGGGCAACTCCACCAAATCGCCACAATAATTCAATTTCAGTATTTGCAAGCGGGAAAGTGAACATATGCTTTCAGATAACTTTTTTATGGCAGTACGAGAGAGGTCTAACGAACGAAGATACTTAAGATTGCCGACACAGTCAGGTACCTCTTTAAGGTCAGAACAATGAGAGAGGGATAAGATACGCAATAAGCTAAACATGGCGAACAATTCAGGTATCGATATTTTGCAATTCCAATAACAGGGAAGTTGATCCATGCTCCTACCTGTTGGCATAAATGTACGTAACCTTTGTCTTTTGTATAAAGTTCCAAACCCTTCAAAATGTCGGTCGTAACCAAGTTCAAATGAAAAATGACGAGTTACTTCTTGTATTTTTTTTGTTTGATCAATATTGCCCCTGAAATATATGCCTCCAGCAACATATTTTGCCAAATCATTTAGAAGGTCATGCATGACAAATACTTCTTTCTTTTCAGTTAATGGTTGAAAGAGGGACCTTGATTTTAAATCATTGAAGTATTGTTGGCAAGCTTCTTCCGGACTCTTACTATGTTGATGACAGTGTAGGAAATTTTCAGTCATCCACAACTGAATCAAATCCTCTTTTCTAAACTCATAATCCTTAGGGAATAGTGCACAGTAAGCAAAGCAGACCTTCAAATGAGATGGAAGGTGGATATAGCTCAATGCTAAAGCGGGAACAATATCACAACGCTCTTGGGAAAATTCCCATATTTCGCTTTGTAACACAGTTTCCCATTCTGGAACAGATGATTTGTTGTATAATAAACTTCCCATTGTTTTCAAGGCAAGAGGTAATCCTTTACATTTCTTAACAATCTTGACATCAATCTCATTGTACTTCGGATTTGGTTTAGTATCATCATTTCCGAATGCATGTTTAGCAAACAATCTCCAGCTATGTTCGTACTGTAGTTGCTCTAGGGAGTGTTCCTCTGACTGCATGATTCTAGCAACTTCCTTATTACGTGTAGTGACAAGAATCCTACTCCCTTGGGCTCCGAAAACAAGGGGCTTTTGCACCTCTTCCCATTTAGATTGATTTTCATTCCAAACGTCATCCAAAACGAGAAGGAATTTCTTTCCCAACAATTTTTCTTTCAATCTTCTATGAACCATCTCCAGATCTCTACTATCATCAGTTGATTTAGTGACAGCTTCAAGAATTGCTCTTGATACCTTGAAAACATCAAATTCATCTGAAACACAGACCCAAACTTTGACTTCAAATTTATCCTTATTCATGCTTGGGTCATTGAATAAATGTTGGGCAAGAGTGGTCTTACCCACCCCAGGCATTCCCACAATAGAAAGTATAGACAGGTTGTTGTGAGTGTTAGATGTGAGCCACTCAAACACAAATTTTTTATCATCATCTCTGCCATATATAACACTTTCATTTGGCAAATATGTTGATCGTAATTTACTGACCCATCCTGAGACCCCAACATCATCAGCCTTTTTCAAACCTAGAACATGGCTTTGTGTTGCAAGATCTTCTAGGTCTTCAATGAGTTTTTCCATCCTTGATTCAAATTTATTTTCAAAGAAACTGATAAAAGAAGAAGTGAGGGGATTGCAAACCTCTTTAGCATCATGATCTATTTCCTCCAGGAGATCCTCTGCATCATACACGGCATCTTTGGCTGCGAGAAGCCAATCTCTCACTCGCGGATTTGTGAACTGTTTCTGTTCTGCATCATCAGCCACAACATCAATGGCCAGGAGCTTCCCCTTCAAGTTGCTTATCTGTTTCTTTTTACTTTTATTATCTCCACGAAATATGCCCTCAAAACGAGAAAATAAAATGTCAAAAGTCTTCTCAAAGAATTTGGACAGAGCAGCATCGGTAATCAATTGAACAGCCATGGTAGAAAATGGGGTGGATGAATGGGAATGAGTGAGTGCTGAGATAATCTAGATGAATAACTATTTAATGGAAGATGGATACAGAAAAACGGAATATGCAGATGAACGGAAATGAGTAAATTGAAAGAGAATCACAATCCATTGAATAATGCAGTGTAGAAGGTTATTTTGTTCGAAGACCATAATAATCAACCAATAAATTTAAAGTCTTCCCGTCAACACAAATTTACACAGCTGTTTTCCATCAATGAATATTTATTTCCATCATATTTATTAGAGTATGGTAGGATGAGAAAAGTTTACCTTCATTTAACACACGTAATAAAAGATAAAATAGGGTGAATTTTTTGTAGTTATAAGAAAAAAAAAAAGTAAGAAAGGAAAGTGTTAAATAAATGTAAAAAATTTATGTTTGTGAAAGTATCATTTATCTATTCGTTTATTTATTTTTTAAAATAGGTACTATGTAAAAACATACTTTGAAAATTCAATCACTACTACAAAAATGAGTTTTGACATCCATTATTTTTTATATTTGAAGTTAGTCTAAACTCTAACATCTTAGCTAGAGACGT